AATATTTAAGTATGGTAACTGTTTATGCCTAGGCACTGGATCCTCCTCTTCATCATCCCTTGGGAGAAGTGGTTTAGGCTTTTCTTTCGGTTTTGGTATAGCTTTCTGGGTTTTCTTAATTACTACAGGAGGAATTTCTTCCTCCACTTCTTCAATTTCTTCTTCTTGCTCATCATCAGAATCTTCGAATTCTGCTAATTGTCTGCGGTTTTTGGCTTTAGTTTGGTTCTCAAGAGCTTTCTTACTTCTGGTATTGACCGCATTCCTACCAGATCGCTCAATCCTTGAACCTACAAGAAACCCTGCTGTTCCTGAGTATCAGCTTGACTGCGTCTAGTAGCTACATAACTTGCAGCTTCTTGACCTTGACCTTGCTGTCCCTCAAAATATGACAGAATGTTTTTCATATTGTTGACTATGTCAACTTCTTGTGCCGATGGACGTGCCACCTGTGCCGGCACCTTATTACCCAACAGTGTATCAATTCGAGTAGCCATTTTATCTAACATATCATCTCTCGAATCTCTAATCTGGTTGGTGTATACTGATTTAACTCGAGCATCTATTCCCAACTGGACGATACCTGGCTCTCTGCTGTTCTGGGTGTAAATTTCTCCAGGTGATGCAAACATATTGCTTTGCGCCATCATATCTTTATTGCTAGCTTCCTCAACAATCATTTTAGCAGACTTCCCATTTGTTCCTCTAGGTACTGGTTGTCCTGTGAGCGCGAAAAACATCTTATGACCGGACATTTTAATTTTTCCTGTTCTAATATGTTCTTCCCTATGGACAATTCATCGCGAAATGCCCTGTTTCTTCACAGTACCAGCATCCGTCTGAACCCATTCTCCAAGTAGGCTGTGTCTGCCTCATGGTGGGTGCTGAGGTAACATGCTGGGTCATTAACGTCTCAGTTAATTTGTTCATTTCTTGTCTTGATGCTTGGAAGGCACTCATTTGTGCTTTTTCACTCGATGTAATTTTATCCATGAGTAACGCAACTTTCTGGTTTAATTCTCGGATATCATCTTCTAGCTTAACACTATGTACTGGCGTAGTATGCGTGTGATGCCCTCGTGTCGTCCGTGTTTCTGTCGCATTGACACCAACCCAGGTATCACTTGAAGAGCTTATCCCTTGTGCACGTCCTGCAATAGTCTCAGCCATTTCAATTACATCTAGGATAGCATATGGATCCTCTGGACGGTGTTCTTTTCCATCGACAGCTTTTCCTTTATCTCGGGAAAGCTTAATATTGAGACTTCCTTCCACTTGTCCTCAGAAACTATCCCTTAGACATCCTAAAAACAGTTCTACCAATTCTCTGTTGCTCACCAAGGCAGGTGGCACCAAGAGTAATTTTTGTTCTGCCCGGAAACCTCTAGTGAGGCTTTTAAGTGCAACAATATCATCAATATCAATGCGCTGATGGTCATTACAAATTTTTCTCAAATTTGCTAGTGTTCCTTTCCCAGCATTCTTTGCCTCTGGATAGTCATCGATCAACGCCTGTTTAAACTCCTTGTATTCAATTTCGGGAGCAAACGTGTCAAATGCTCGCCATTCAAATTCCGTCATTTGGTCCGTATACCTTCCTAACTGTTTCTTCTTTTCTTGATCATCATCGATACCATGCTCTGTGAACAAGTCCTCCATTTGGTCAATGAATCTTAACAGCTCAATGGGTTTTTCCTTGTCAAAGTTAGGAGCTCCTCGGGAGCCTGGCAATGGCATCGGTCTAGACGATCTTCTGCCTCCAGTGGCAGGAGCTTCATCTCGGGTATTATCTGGCATGTTTGTAATATTTCTTTGGGCTAACGAGTTCGGCTTTATATTATCAGATGCCCTAACAGTTTTTCTACGAGTCGCGCAAGGAGGCGGTTGGGATACTGTCTCTGTTCTTAACGGAAACCTTTGCGCTACTGCTGTTGCAGGTTGCTTAGCTTTTCGTTTAGGTGGAGGTGGTAAACCTGATGATTCCCCTGCTTTAATAGAATTCACTGTTTGTCTGATTTTTGGTGCCGTGGTGAACGGCTCTGCACTAGTATTTAAATTGCTTCAAACGCTAGCGGTTTTTAATTTAAACTTTCGTTCAAATAAAATGATCCCATAGATCACTAAACTTTCAAGTCTTTGCTTTGTCATAAACAAAAGGAGACCCTCGCGGTGGGCTCCAGATGATACGCGTTGCACGGGGATGACCGTGAAAGTCCGAAACACGCAAACAAGGATCAAGCGTGTCGGGAAAACCCTAAACACCTAAACACTCACACACACACACACACACACTATCACAATCTCAGTGCACGAGTTCGAGGGCCTTTGGTATTAAGAAATACCACTTTTGTCTTCTTAGGTTTAAGTCTCAAGAGATTTCGTCTCAAAACGGGTTTTTATTATAAGGTGTGGTTTAGAATAGTTCAATAGAACAAAGTATGTCTTTCTGGGAACTTGGTCTCTTAAATGCAAAGTTCTTTGATCACAGTTTCTTCTATTAACACAAAACACAACTTCAATTGACTTTTATGACTCCTGTGAGTTTTTATTATGTCACTACACTCCAAACCAAGGGTACGAGTACGCTGTCTCGTCTAAATGATACTGTGTTTTTAAAACTTCTTATTCAAAAGTCTCCAAGTAAGTTGACTCCCAAGCACGCTGGCTTCGTTCACACTGTACTTTTCTGACCACAAAGAAATCTCCTTTAATTGATTACAACTGTCCACCTCCTAAGTTCCTACTTGGAGTGCAACTAGCTGGTCAACGGGGGGGGCGATTGCTTGCCTTTTGACCTGCCAGCGCGCTCCTTATATACTCCAGGAACCCCTATCTATGTTTTACATGTGTTTTAATGCGGGATACTTCGGTCCGAATTACAAATATGAAATTTAATGAACATGTGGTATATTTTGTAGTCTATCTCTGTGAACACTACAGATTTTGTAGTGTCGTGTCTTTCATTTTCAAACACATCAGTGTTTGATGCGTATGCGGAGTTAGCCGACGTAGCTATTCTTAGCTTGGCATGATCTCGCGTGTTTCTTTCTATGGCCCAGTTTACCAGTTTGACAGATGACATCACAAAATGATTAATGTTTCCTGATGCGTTGATGCGCATGCGTACGCGTTTACCAATAGTCTTCGGCCTTCCGTCGCTTCCGAGTTTTTAATTAAAATGCCTTGTCTTGGCTCATCTTTTCATTACGGAGGTCGGGAGACACTCCGAAGGTGTTTTCAAATGTCTTTCTTAATTGTCAGGGGGTTCTTATTATATTTCATATAATAGAATGTGTCTTTTTCTCATGTTTGTACTTGTGACGTTCAGACACATCAGTCTTTGATGCATACACGGGAACTGCTGTACATGACTTTCTGAATGGCCGTGAGCCACGCTAAGTCTTCGTACGTTTACTACCTAGGTGTAGTTTAGTCTTTCAATGTTTCAGACATGCTGTTTAAGCGTCTATGTCGTCTTTTCTGTATTTCTTGTATAAGCACGAAGTTTTCACAATAAATCCATTATGTGTTTCTAAACCCTTTGGTAGTAATGCAATTCTTCTCCCTGCGTTGGGTGTTTACTCTAGAACCTCTTCGTGCTCTATTTCATGGTAGGTGAATCTTAGATAGGATCCAAGTATAATGTCACAACACGTACTGCTGCCAGTTCCAAAGCCTTGTCCTATTTTCAGATTCCACGCATTTGCATTTTTAGTCAACTGTGCCGGGTATGCGCATTGACTCTTTGTATCATTGCAATTGTATGTAGTGTATTTATTAGAGATGACTTTTATCGGTAAAATTGTTAAAATTGAATTTTATATGGGTGAAATGGTTTCATCCGTATCAACGTACTGCAACCCATTTGTGTGAAGGACCATAAAGTCCTTGTGTCCAGGTTGCGGCGTGACACATCGAGAACTGGCAGGGTGGCCGAGCTGAACTCTGAGGCCCAAGTCTTTCAGTGATACTTTGTCGAAACACGCGCCATCCCATTTCTAAAACAATTGATCAGTCAACTAAAAGTGAATGAAGGTCTCATGATCAACTGACCTTGATGATGTGGTGAGGTAACTGTCGATGGCGCTTGAGTGTGCAGTTCAAGCACTCCGCTAATGGTCCCAGACAATCCTCACAGTGGTAGATTCCAGCTGGGGAGGAGCATGACATGCACCCATGGAAGTGTTCCCCCCCTGCCCTTCAAGCCTAAGCAATTCAAGCAGATATTCCTCCCTATATCCTGGATCACACCAATCCTTTCCAGCCCACTCGTGCAACGGAGCATCCTGAGAGCCCGTGTTTGTCAAAACACAATCAGTTCTCAGGTTTCGAGGCACTTACCAAAGTGGGGTACCGTTTTGCTGCAACTTTTGCAGCCACGGTGCCTTGAACGTTTTCTTCGACATTTATCAGGGGTGACTCCTCCCCGGCATCTTCATACTCGATGCAAGGGTTCCAGTCGTCGAATTCCTGTTCTACGAGGGGCCGACTCTGAGCAGAGGAGACTTTCATGGGGGAGCGAGGTGTTTGGAGGATTCGAAAGCCGTTATCAGAGATTTGGACAGTGCGGGAGTGACCAATGTGAAGCTTGTTGTCATGCTTGTTGTCGCGAACAACAACGAACTTGCTCTTTCCCTTGTAACGGCCCTTGGCCATGTTGATGGGAAAACAAGGGTCATCACCAAGTCGTCACATGTGCTCACACGCCAACATCAATAACATCAACAGCAGTGGTATGTACATACAGCAGGACAACTGAAGAATGTGCAACTACTCGACCAAGCTAACTACAGGAAATTGAAGTTGAAGTCTCCCTCACTCGAGGTATCCTCCTGCGTGGTCTCTCCCAAGCTTGGTCCCACTATTGCTTTCTCAATTTCTTCAAGGCCGATCATCGGGGTCGGAAGGCCGTTCATAATTTTTTGGATCGCAGAATTTAACTCAGCATTCCAACTATGTTTCGGAGGCGAGTCAGCATCAGCCTGCTCTGGGAAGAGGAACGACATCCAGCCGACTTTGCTACGGACAAGCTACAACAGAAATATCAGAAGCTGTCACATACAAACCAAGGACTAACCTTTTGCCGCAACTTCAAAATGTAAGCCCCGTAATCAGTGTCCATGTAATCCTTATTCACTTTTATCTCCTCAGGCTCCGGAAACCTGAGGCACCATACGAGATTGGCCCTTTCAAAGAATTTGTTGCTCTGTCCTGCAGCACACGCTAAGAAATAGCTGGGATGAAGCGCTTTCAAGACGTCATCCTGAGTTTTCTTCAAGTGCCTTGCAATTTCGTCAGCAGGCTCGGGTTTCTAATACAATCAACAATCAGTGTCCGCCCACACGGCAGTGTAGGGAAATCAATCACCTGCGCCAAGGCCTTTTGCCTTCGCTTGTACGCTGTATCGTCCTTGAAAGTGACGGGCTGTATTTTTTTGGGGCCAATCCTGTGTTTGCCCATTGGATAAAGGTGTAGAAGGTAGTTGAAGTTTGTGTAGTGATACTGCGTGAGGAATAACTTTAATGGAAAGGACTGTACAGTTGCCACAAATGACAAAAAGTGTGGATTATTGCGTGAACAGATTACAAGACTTCGCCGCAGGGAGTGAATAAGTGTCATGCTGAGACCGCTTCCAATTTCTCTCCTTCCCAACAAATTTGATAGCCTAAACAACCACTCGTGTGCCAGTCAGCCAGCTCGCCCTCCCTTGTCATCAAAAACTCCTCAATTTCCTCCAACAAAAACATGACATGCTGGAAGTCCGCCCCCACCTGATCAGTGTCGTTATACTCACTTCCACAACCATACTCTTGTAAAACTTTCCCAAGACATGACATGAATGTAATCCACCAGATTGACCCACAAGCTTGCTGTCACCTTGCAGAACTCCAACGCTGAACCGGGACTCACGATGCATTCCTTCATGATGTCGTCTATGTACTTGTACTTGTCACCCTGAGTCTTTTCATCAAATGCGATCTTGGCTTGGTTAAGGGTCTTGATGGGATTGTTGAGTCTGCTTTCTAAGTTCAGATCGATCATGCAGAATCTGGAGATTTCATCGTACATGACATCATCGGACCCAGTATAAATTCCGTTGGGCTTTCTCTTTCGTGTCCCCTTTCTCGGAAATTCTGAGCATTATAGTAATTATTCATTTTGAGTTGCCAACGAGTGCCGAGAAACCCGTCCTTTATTCCCTTAAGGAATCTTAAGTAGTGCGACCTCATGTACGTTTGATGCGTTGTTGGCAGCGTGACAAACCAAGTTCTAACCGTGGACTTCTCCTTCAAACGAAACCACAACCAGTATCCCAATGCTTCTGGGAGACTGGTAGCTACCACTTACATCATGTACTCCTGAGCTGTACCATAGAAGTTCCTGCTTAGCTACTGTGAATGAAATGAAATGAATTTTCATTCATTCACGGCACCTGTTTCATTCTAGATAATTTATTCTGTTTCATTCATTCCTGGCGACTGTTTCATTTTTTTATTTCATTCCACCATGGCAACTGTTTCATTCCTTGCTTCATTCTTCTCAGGTGCCTATTTCATTGTTAGAGCTGGGAAAATGATTATGTAATTGATACAGAATATTTAAGTGCCTTATTTGGCAACAGCATGCCTATCTTGTTGTGTATTTGAGCCTCAAATGCAAAAATACCCCCATATGGCCTCCCACACCACTGCAGTAGGGCATAACACATATCAGGCATAATTTGTATATTATTTCCTTATTTAGATGTGTATTAAAACATCGAAATTGTTGCCTGAAAGAATGAAACAAAAATGAAATAACTGCCTGGAAAGAATGAAATGAAAATTCCATGGCAATGAATGAAAAAAAAAAATGAAACAGTCGCCAGGAATGAATGAAACAGAAGAATAAAGCAAAAAATGAAACAGTTGCCATGGTGGAATGAAATTAAAAAAATGAAACAGTCGCCAGGAATGAATGAAACAGAATAAATTTCATTCTTGTCAGTAGAAATGAAGAAAAAATTGAAATGAAATGAAATGAAACAAAAAGTATTTCATTCTCCATGGCAATAGATTAGAATGACTTGGAATGAAACAGTTGCCATGAATGAATGAAAATTCATTTCATTTCATTCACGGTAGCTAAGCAGGAACTTCTATGGTACATGCCAGGTTTTACATGATGTAAATGGCAGCTACTAGTGTCTGGGAGCCAGCCTCCCAGATTCACTAATTGCTGAACATTCCAGAAGTAATCGATGGCTGTCCAGTGGTTGCCGTCCCACTCAGGAAGCTGCTCGACCTTCAACTCTGTTTTGATCGAGGCTGGCATGTTTCCGTAAGGAGCTTGGGGCCAGCCAGCTCCTCCTGGTCCAGGAGGATCATTACCCCCTCCTCCTGGTGGAGGCGGGCCTCCATTTCCCGAAGGAAATCCTGAAGGAGGCACGTGACTATCGTTTCTATTATTACTATTACCTGAGGAGGGAAATCCTCCTCCACCTCCTCCACCGCCTCCGGGGGGAGGAAATCCTCCACCTCCTCCACCGTGGTTGCTGTTACTCGGAGGAGGGCCTCCACTTCCACCAGCGTGGTTGCTGTTCCCTCTGTTATCGTCTGGCATGCCTCTTCCGGGTGGAGATCGTCCTCCTCCTGGATTTGCATTCGATTTGTTTGCTTGCGGTGCAGTGAGCGATGAAGATGCAGGGACTGTCCATAGGCGAGAGGTTTGGTTGGAGGGGACATTCGAGGTGTGTGTTCGGCTTTGATCCATTACCATCGCCTCTTTGACGTTGTCTCCTAGATTCGAGCGGGATGGAGTAGCGAGACCAACGGTGACGTCCGCGTTAGCGTTATAAGTGGGCGTCGAGAAGAATACTCCGGAAGTAGTGTCGTCCGCTCGTTCCAGGAACTGCTTGCCTGTCTGGAATGGCGTTTGGAATCCAAACGACGGCTCTAGTCCCTGGGTCTGGTCACGACCCTGTTCGATGCTTGGATTATTATCGGACCAAGGTGAGTTATAATTGTCCCATTCAACCTTTTTCTTAACTTCCACAGGATTACGCTCACTGTCTAGTGGAGGGGTGAGCGCTCTTTCTTTTACAGGTTCGTCCCATGTCAAGGTTTGTGTGGGATGAAGGATGTCCCAGCTTACACCGTCTTTAACAGCTTGTCAAGCGTTGGGCGTAAGCTGACTTTGATGATGCGGGATGTTCTCTAACAGGTATCTCATACGACCATCTACGTCCTCAATTCTCTTGAAGTCACTGTACAGCTTGGGTGCTGTCGAGACGGGGGAAAGGGGAATGTCGTTCCCCTGATATTCAGATTCATATTTCATGACTGTTTGTTGAGCTACCTGAAGTCGTTTAACTAAGATTTTATAGGCCATGTCCAACTGCGATCTACTCTTGCATCCTCTCAGAGCAGTAGTCATGGTGTCTTCGGGATCAATGGAGTAAACTCGCGCTCTTTCCTCAATAAGATCAGCCATCCAGTGAAGAAAGGCCTGTAGTTCATTGACGGCGCGGAGGATGCGAACAAGTCTCTCTTCTTTAACACATATACTAGTGTAGGGATCGACTCCTTCCCCAGTTTTACGAGTGATGTCCGACGGGTTGAGGTTAGGGTGTAATAAGATCCATGACACTTCCATCGCGGTAGATAGGTTACTCCCTTTCTCTAAATTGTATTCCAGGATCAAATTATACATGGGGGAAAGGGAATACCCTCTTTCCATGCCTACGCGAAACGTCCGAACGGCTATCTCTTCGTCGACAGGGAGCGTCGTAGGGGTGACTGAAGTGGGCGGAGAGGAGAGTGGTGAACTGTAGTTAGAGGATGCATCTCCTCCAGGTTTGTGCTGAGAGGGGTTGTTTCCGTCTGAGGGCAGGGGAGCTGTAGAATGAGTAGACGAAATTCGAGGTTCTTGGCTGTTACTTTGAGCCAGATAAGAGATATGAGGTGGTTGATCGCGGGAAGGGGCGTAAGAGTCTGTCGTTCGATCATTGGATGGGCTTCTTCTCCAATTTGAAGAGGAGCTCGGAGGGGATGTCGAAGAGCTGGGTTTGGAGACCTTAGCAGAGGAAGCTGCTGTAGGAGCCATAAGCCTTGATGTACCGCTGAAGGCCGGTCTCCCTCTTGACCCAAGGGGAGGAGAGGTTCTCCTTGGGATGCGATTTGACACCAGTTTAGAAAACGTCGAGGGTTATAAGGTTGTAAGTGCTAGAAACAAGTGTTGCGAGGGTCTTCGAGTTGTAGATAGTAGCTTCGAAGAAAGAGTCATTGGAGACGGTGAAGAATGAAGCGAGAGGTTGCTAAGCTTGCCGGCCAGACAAATCAGCTGTTCCCACAGTGTCCACCTTTGTGAACCGCTACTTTGGGTAGGATCCACCAGGGTAGCGGGAAAGCCGTTGTGGAACTGGCGAGCAGAGGTGTGAGGACCCATGTTGTGGTCACAGATCGAGGCTCACACTCAGAGACGAGGAACGTGACAGTCCAACGTAACTCGTGTTCCGACTTCCGGATGCAGTCCCATGGAAGTTGCGTGATGAGATCTGTCTTCACTCCTAAACTACTCAAGGTTTGCCGACTTCAGCCCTTGGTAAGGCTTTCGAGGTCAAACTCGTAGAGTTGGTATAGATGTAAAAGAGATGATATTCCCCTCGCGTCGAACACGAGGTACAAATACAACGTACAGAATGTATGACGTAATACAAAAATGAAGTAAGCATAGATGAGATGCGCGCGTGCACCATAAGTGGGCAAAGGTGGAAAGTAATGATGTACGGGGTAGGACTAACCTGTTACACCAACATGTGATGAGCGCGTGTGACTAAGGTTCGCTTTCCAGGTCAGCGGGCAAGCAGGCACATGGTGACACTGCACTGGGATTTGGCGAGGGCAGGCTGGACACCACAAGCGATATGTCAGTAACAGTCATGATGAACGGTGAAGAGAAAAGACGATGTTGAAAATTTTCAACATTGTCACATGTCATCGGACTTCGAATGGACTTAAGAATAATTTCTAAAGTGTTTGAGCACTCCGGCTTTTGGGCACTTCTGACTTACTGAGGTGAGTGACTTAAGTCACTCATGGCCAACCAATTTTTGGTCAATTTTTTAGAAAAATATACTGACGGAAAGAGGTCATTTCCGCAGTTGTGAACCTCTAATCAGAATAGGAACAGTATTTGAAATGCTGAGGTACCAGATAAAAAGTTGCAAGGAGGTTCCAAATGTAAGTTGCCTATTTTGGAAACTTCTTTTGATCCTTCTTCCTCTCGTCCGCCAACGTTCACTATGGGTCGCCCTCGCCTCTACAATACACAGGAGGAAAAGCTCCAAGCTTGTCGCATCCAATCTAAAAAGTACTATGAGCAGTGTGTCCCTTGACCTTTTCCTTTCATGATTTGTCTCTCACCGTCATTGGATCAACAATCAGTAACCGCGCTCAGATATGCCACCGGATGCATCGTAAATACAAAAGGAAGGCTAGAAGAGAAACAGAAGTCAAGGAGCAAGAAAGTACTGGGTCCGATGGGGTCAGGTACAAGGACCAAGTGGAGGTGCACCTGAAAAGTGCGTATTGAAGGCTTGGAGTCTTCGAGCTCATCTCTGCCCTCTTCTGACATTTACCTGTAGACAACTTGAATCAGCGACATAATTGGATATCTATGTTAAGTAGTGCCTAAGGCACATACATATCAAAATTCTAAGTGTTCCAAGCCATATTGGCTTCTACAGGCAATGTTTAATGATCACACGGAGAGAATCCAAAATGGGCATTTTGTTCAAAATGCATTGCATCGCTTACTGACGAAGTGCTCGCTTACTGACGAAGTGCTCTTCTTTCAGACCTCACGTTTTAAAGATGGGGACAAGCAGCATATAAAATTTAGGGCGGGACACTATTTACACAACATTCAGATAGGAGACCAGTACTTGGCAGAGCAACGAATTGGGAATCAAGTAAGGTATAATGCAAAGTTGGCGGTGAGAGCAGCCGCCATGCGACGATGCCCTTCTGTGACGCTAGCCACGCGAGAAAAACTACTACAGGACACACTGATCACGAGAGGTGAAGTGACTTCCCTGGTAAAAAAATATTAAGATCTTGAAAACTAATTTCCGAAGGGGAGGGAGCTCACCAGCCACAAAAAATACCAATGTCCCGACCACGACTCACACAAAAGAAGGGGCTGCCAGCATTGGGGGGAGGGATATGGTACCCGTATATGGCTGTGATGAGATTGCCTGGCGGAAGAATAGCATTGTCAGGCCTGCTGGGAGGTAAAGCATAACCTGGGGCATAGAGCACGGGAAGGCCGATAGCATTAGCGGCTGGGCTGATGGCATTGGGGGCTGCTGCAATGGGAGCGGTTACTGCAACGGAAGCGGTTACAGCGGAAGGAGGGATAACCGCAGCTGCAGGAGAGTTGAGGTCTTAGCAGTGCCCCCCCTATTCCTGCAGGAATCCGGTCATTCCGGTGGAATGGAATTTAGCAGAAGGCCCTGCTAAATTGTTTATTCCGGTGTTTTCCATTCCGGTGGAATTCCGGTGGATTCCGGAATGTACACCGGAATGTTCCCCGGAATGGGCAGGAATGGTGTTCCCCGGAGTGGGCAGGAATGGGATTCCAGTCCAATCTGTTTATTTTATTTATTTGTTACTGTATTATAGTTTATTTATTTTCAATGGATCACAAACAATGTTTGTTTGGTGAACATGCTCACCAAACATGGCCACCCTCTTCTTCCACCACCACCACCATGCTTGTCACCGCTGCCAATGCCATGCCATCACCGTCACCCATAGCCACCACCACCAACATCGCTCCTCGATCACCCATGGCCACCACGACCACCAACATCGACCACGACACCCTTCAACAACAATGCAGCGACACCACGTCACGAAACAACAAGCGCCGTAACCCACGAAAACCCCCAACGCCCACGAAAACAATGCCCCTGGACACAAAACAACACACCACCAGTGCCCACGAAAACCATACCCCGCCCACGAAAACATCCCACCACCCACCGAAAACACGAGCGCCCACCGAAAAACATGAGCGCCCACCGAAAAACACGCGCCGCCCACCGAAAAACACGCACCGCCCACACGACACACGACGGCACCACACCGCCTACCAAAACCACCACGTCCACACCAACGCCACCCACAACGACGCCCCCAACAGCAACCAGCTCCCATGATGACGGCATCGACAATGCCCATGAATAACGCAAAAACACGGACACACAACGAAAACGCGAACACGCGACGAGGAGGCGACAACAAAATGTGACACAACGATGGGACGCCAACGCGGTGATACGGATGAAACCATTTCACCCATATAAAATTCAATTTTAACAATTTTACCGATAAAAGTCATCTCTAATAAATACACTACATACAATTGCAATGATACAAAGAGTCAATGCGCATACCCGGCACAGTTGACTAAAAATCCAAATGCGTGGAATCTGAAAATAGGACAAGGCTTTGGAACTGGCAGCAGTACGTGTTGTGACATTATACTTGGATCCTATCTAAGATTCACCTACCATGAAATAGAGCACGAAGAGGTTCTAGAGTAAACACCCAACGCAGGGAGAAGAATTGCATTACTACCAAAGGGTTTAGAAACACATAATGGATTTATTGTGAAAACTCGTGCTTATACAAGAAATACAGAAAAGACGACATAGACGCTTAAACAGCATGTCTGAAACATTGAAAGACTAAACTACACCTAGGTAGTAAACGTACGAAGACTTAGCGTGGCTCACGGCCATTCAGAAAGTCATGTACAGCAGTTCCCGTGTATGCATCAAAGACTGATGTGTCTGAACGTCACAAGTACAAACATGAGAAAAAGACACATTCTATTATATGAAATATAATAAGAACCCCCTGACAATTAAGAAAGACATTTGAAAACACCTTCGGAGTGTCTCCCGACCTCCGTAATGAAAAGATGAGCCAAGACAAGGCATTTTAATTAAAAACTCGGAAGCGACGGAAGGCCGAAGACTATTGGTAAACGCGTACGCATGCGCATCAACGCATCAGGAAACATTAATCATTTTGTGATGTCATCTGTCAAACTGGTAAACTGGGCCATAGAAAGAAACACGCGAGATCATGCCAAGCTAAGAATAGCTACGTCGGCTAACTCCGCATACGCATCAAACACTGATGTGTTTGAAAATGAAAGACACGACACTACAAAATCTGTAGTGTTCACAGAGATAGACTACAAAATATACCACATGTTCATTAAATTCATATTTGTAATTCGGACCGAAGTATCCCGCATTAAAACACATGTAANACATAGATAGGGGTTCCTGGAGTATATAAGGAGCGCGCTGGCAG